TCAACGTTCAAATGTGTAATTCAAATTATGTTGGATGTTTTTTTTTCTGTGCAAAAAAAAAAAATCACAATAATGTTAATCCATTGGCACTCTCCTCCAAAAGCACTCTCATCTCACCTCCGACTTTGCACTCAGATGTGGTTCAGACACTTTTATTGCTCTGCGGAGATTTGGTACAAATACATGGCCCTCATCTGCACTCAGTTGATGAAAATCACCATCCTTTATGGGTCATTTTGAACAATATTGAGGGTTCAATATATATTATGCATGCCATACAGGGGCAGTATCCTCTCTTGGCCTTTAATGAAATCATGAAGTTCATTATATATGCATAGTATATTGGCAGCTAAAGCCTGTTATACTCTGTAGGGAGGGGGGGGGGGATGGATGTTGAGTATTCACATGAAATCAAAGGGTTAATTCATGAAGTTTTCAATTCGCTCCTCTTCCATGGGCACAAGGTGATAATGTGTATTATAACCCTTGTGTTTATATCATGTAAACTCACTTTCACTCCAGATTCTACTCTATTCATGATACATAGAATGTGTCCATGTGTCATTTCCCCAGTGCGAAGGCATTATGCAGCCTGAGCATAAAGTGATGACTCACTTTGGTAGTACGAGCCAGCAATTTAGAATCAATTTCATTCCAGCAGAAGTATCAAAAACAGTGCTGCCAATTACACACAATGCCTTCACTTTACTACTCATTCAGTCTTTAATATTCATGTGGCAGATGTTCAATTGCCTGGACGATAAAAGTAAATCAGGGACATCTCGTTGGGGGGGATCTCTCGTCTCAAAGTGTGACATCATAACTCATCCTGACATCTGGTGCTGTAACCGTCAAGCGAGACTGTTTGAAATATGGAGGAGAGGTGTTAACGCATTCTGGAGGCAGTCAAAGGGCTCCGTGTGGATCTGACATGCTTCATGAGCAGCAGAAGGTTTAATCTGTTGACAACAACATCGAAGGAAAAACATTTGGGCTTTTCTTCAGCTGCCTCAAACTTTTGAAGCAAACTCAGACGTGACATAGTAAAACGTTAACTGGAATCACCCCTATGGACTGCCAGAAATCAATGAGAATTTTATGGACCTGTTTCCTCTGCTTCATCTTCCCGGTGCCCACTGTGCTCGCAGAGGGAAGCCTGCTGATGTGAAGATCAGAAAGATGGCAGGCAGCATGGCAGAAATGAGAGCATGCAGACTCTGGGCGGGGGGGGGGGGGGGGGG